GGCAGGTAGAGCTGGCTCTCGGCGCCGGCCCGCACTCGCCCGAGCAGGCCGACCTCCGCCAGCTGCAGGCGGACCTGAAGGAGCTGATCGAGCTCACCGAGGCCAGCCTGGCGGCGGTCCGGAAGAGCCAACTGCTGGCCGCGCTGGACGGAGAGCGCCCGGGCCGGGGGGATGCAGAGGGCCCTGCTCTCCAGGAAGCCGTGGCCGAAGTGGGGGAGGCCGCGGTCGCCCTGGGGGCGGCGCCGGAGGCTGTCCCTGGGACGGACGCGGGGCCAGAGTCCACGGAAGGAGGGCAGGAGGAGGAGGAGGGCGAGGACGACGACGAGGACGAGCTGAGCGGGACAAAGGTGAACGCCCCGTACTACAGCTCGTGGGGCACTCTGGAGTACCACAATGCTATGGTGGTGGGCACCGAGGAGGCGGAGGACGGCTCAGCGGGGGTCCGTGTGCTCTACCTCTACCCTACACACAAGTCCCTGAAGCCCTGCCCGTTCTTTCTGGAGGGGAAGTGCCGATTCAAGGAGAACTGCAGGTGAAGCCCTTGGTTGCAGATGCTGGCGCTTAGGGGCGCGCGGGGGTGGGGGAGGGAGGGCCGCGAGCGATCGGGGTCGGCCCTGGCCCCCATCTCTGCGCCTTGCAGGTTCACCCCACCCCAGCCAACGGGCGGGCGGGTTTTGACAGCAGCGTCCTTGTTAGGTATTGCCTTGGCTTTTCTTGGGTAATTCAAGAGGTGTGGAAGGGCTTATGCAGAAGAGAACGGGCCCCCGACCCATTGTCAGTTTTATGGGAATTGTCAAACATAATGTGAAATTAGAGTGGTAGAGTCCCCACACACATTTTCTCATCCTACTTCCTCATCTGCCAGTATTTTGCCAGTCTTGTTTCATCTGTTCTCTCTTTTTTTTCCTGGACTGCTTTAAAGCAAATTTCAGAAATTACGGGCTTTTTCCCCCAACTATAACTACTTTGGGATGCATCTTTAATCGAAATGATAAAGAATTTACTAAAATAAACTTCCATGTTGTTATACTTAGCAATATAATGGTAACAATTATATCGTAACAATGGTGCTACCTAGTTCATTTTCAGATGTTCACAGTTGTTGCCATGCTGTCTTTTTTTTCTTACAAGCATAGCTTTATTTCTGTTCCTTTTATTCTCTCTTTAAAAGGAGTATTCACTGATTCTTCTAGTAGGTAGTTTTCGTTTTTGACCTGTAGTCAGGACAACCATCTCCAGTTCCTTGGGCATCATCTTTCTTTATAGACTGGCTGGATCCAGAATCTTATTTGGGCCTGCCCTTCTTCTCTCCCTTCTTCACTCCTTCGTTCTTGGGAGGTTTTATTGACATGTAACACACATGCAGAAAATACATAAGTCATCAGAGTACTCAGTGAGTTTTCACAGAGTGGTCACGTCTGTGTCACCAGCAGTCAGACCACCTTTCAACGTTAGTCCCTCTGGAGGTTATCTCTGGGTGTTCCCTGGGATGATAGATCTGACCCATTCCCCCAGGAATTTCGCACATTCACTCATCTGGGCAGTACCCTTGTCAGGTAGGCTCTGTAGGCACCCTCTCTTATAGAGGAGGAAGTAGGAGTGGAAGCCTTGGTGATGGCCCGAGGCTGTTTGGCTCAGAAGGACTCTGAGAGGCCCCCAACCCCTCTGTCTACTCACCCAGAGCTGCTTGCTGTGGCTGCTTTTGGCCCCATCTGAAGACTTCCAAAGCAGCTAACAAACACCCACCTCACACCCCAGGACTGATGAGTTACTTTCTTGGGTTTGTTTTGGACTTTTTTGTTTTGTTTTCTTAAGTCAGGGTCTCACTCTGTCACCCAGGCTGGGGTGCAGTGGCATGATTACCGCTCACTGCAGCCTCAACTTTATGGGCTCAGGCAATCCTTCCACCTCAGCCTCCCAAGTAGCTGGGAGTAAGTGTGCTACCAAACCTGGCAAATTTTTTGTTTTTGTTTGTTTGTTTGTTTGTTTTTATAGCAACAGGCTCTTGCTATGTGGTTCAGGCTGGTCTCAAACTCCTAGGCTCAAGCAGTCCTCCCTCCTTGGCCTTCGATCCTACAAAGTGCACTCTGTTGCCCAGGGTGGAGTGCAGTGGCACGTTCACAACTGCCACAGCCTTGACCTCCTTGGTTCAGGCGATCCTTCCACCTTAGCCTTCAGGTAGCTGGAACTACAGACATGTACCACCAAAACCAGCTAATTTTTAAATTTTTATTGTCTTGTCATGTTGCCCATGCTGGTCTTAAACTCCTGGGCTCAGGCAGTCCTCTTGCCTCAGTCTCTTAAAGTGCTAGGATTATAGGCATGTTCCACTATGTCTGGCTCTGGACTTTTTAAAGTCAAAGAAATAGCACAGCTAACAGTGAAGTGCCCTTTGACCCCATTCCTCTATCACATTCCTTTCTCTCTTCTAAGAGCCTATCATTGTCACAACTTTGGTGTTACTTCTTAATACACATCATTCAGCTCTTAACAACAGGATACAATCTGAGAAACGCATCGTTAGGTAATTTTATCGCTTTGCAGGCATCTTCGAGTGTCCTTGCATGCCTTGATGGCAGGGCAAGCTTCACCCCTAGGCTGTGTGGCCCGTGGCTTCTGGGTTGCACACCTGTACAGTGGGTGACTGCTGAACTGGAGGCAACCATAACACAATGGCAAATATTTGCATATCTAAACATAGAAAAGATACAGTAGCAATACAGTGTAAAACATACAAAGCGGTATACCCATACAAAACACGTACCATAGTGGCACTTACAGAGCTGGAAGTGGCTAGAACAGTGAGCAAGCGATGATGAGTGAAGGCCTAGGATGTGACGACACTGCCGTAGACTTCATCAGCACTGAACACCGAGGCGGCGTCAGTTTATGAAACAGTAATTGTGCTATGGTATTATGATGAGTGTGATGTCACCTGGTAATAGGCGTTTTTCAGCTTCAGTTAATCTTGGGGGACCACCACCATGTGTGGTCAGTGGTTGACTGAAACGTTGTTATATATAAGCAGTGCATGACTAGCAATTCACTGCACACATGTATGTATCCATAAATGGTATATATCTGGGCTTTATTTTTAGGAACCTTAAATAAATATTGTATAGTAAGATTCATCTGTAGCTTGCTTTTTCGCTAAGTATTTTGAGAGACACCCACCTTGATACTTACAGGCTATCTCAGTCATCTCACCTGCTGCAGTAGTATTCTGCCTCTTGAGCATCACATTTATTTACTCTGTCCTCTTCTGATGTTTCAACTTTTGTTTGTCGTTGTCAGTATGCAGTGAGCATCCTGGCACGTGTCTCCTTTTGCATTCAGTATTTCTTCAGTGTGCACCCAGTGTGGAGGGAGTGTGTTCTTTTATGGCTTTCGCCTGACAGTATCTGGCCCCAAGTCTTCCAGGCTTGCCCACAGTCACGGTGCTCAAATACAGATTTGTGCCCATTGAAAGCTGGGAAAATTAATTAAACTGGTATATCATTGATTATGAATGAGGGTGAGCATCTTTTCACATGTTTGTTGTAACTTAATCTCTTTATATTCACCTCCTCATCTGTAAAATGGTTATTGGGAGAATGTAATGCACTAATATGTGCAAGAATAAGATATTTAGAACAGTTCCCAACAAGGAGTAATCAATCACACAGAAATTTTTTTATCTTGTTATTGTAAAATAAGTTGAAACACAGAAAATAAACAGAGTACAGGCAATTTTTTTAGAGAGATAGGGTCTCTCTCTGTCACCTAGGTTGGAGTGTGGTGGTGCAGTCATAGCTCACTGCAACTTTAACATCCTGGGCTCAGGTGATCCTTCTGCCTCAGCCTTCCAGGTAGCTGGGACTACAGGTGCATACCACCACGCCCAGCCAGGGCCTTCTCATAAAGTGAATACCCTGGCTGTCACTACTCAGATAAAAACTATAACTTTACCAATCACCCCAGAAGTCCCTCCCTCCTGCAATATAGCCTTCTTCCTCCTCCAAAAATAACTACAATCCTGACTTGTATAGTAATCACCACATGTGTTTTTGTGGCCTCTCCCCGGGAGAACCTGCAGAGTAAACATTACAGTTCCATCCTGTTTGTTTTCTCACTTTGATTATGCCTGAATCTGGTGTCCACAGGCTTCTCCACTCCTGTCCTGTCCTCCCCGAAGCAGCCATGCCACCAGTACTTCTGTCTCCTGCGGGGAGCAGCTGGATCAGGCACTTGGTCACTCAGGCCAAGCCCCTTTGGCCAGACTCCAGTGCTGTTCTTCCGTCACTTGCTCTTCTGTGATGTTAGGAGCCCTTGGAGCTAGATCCTCTTGTTCATTAGGGATTGCCAAGTGTGGGAGGGGGGTTCACTCTATCAGTTCATGTTCATTTATCACCTTTGAATGACAGATGCTTTCCCTCATTTATGATTTGACTAGCCAGTGGTGCAGTTCATAGAAAAGGCAGAAAACATGCTGGGTTTTCTGTTTTGTTTACTTAGTTTTCAAGAATGAGTAAAATATTTTTCATTCTGAGAAAGTGATGAGTTAGCGTTTTAAAAGTATTTAGCTTAGTTTTATATTTTTGAGCTGGGGTCTCACACTGTTGCCCAGGCTGGAGGGCAAATGGCATGTTCATGGCTCACTGCAACCTCGACCTCCTGGACTCAGATGCATCTCCTGCCTTAGCCTCCCGAGTAGCTGGGACTACAGGCATTTGCCACTATACCTGACAAATTTTGTGATTTTTTGTAGAGACAAAGGACTCCCAGGCTGGTCTGGAACTCCTGGGCTCAAGCAATCCTCCCACCTTGGCCTCCCAAAGTGCTGGGATAACTGGCATGAGCCACCATGCCTGGCCTTGGATATTCAACTCTTATGAGATACAGAATTTGCAAATATTTCCTCTCATTCTTTGAGTTATCATCTTTTCACTCTATATAGTGTCCTTTGATGAACAAATGTTTTTAATTTTGATGAAATTTAATTTATCAAATTTTTTTTTTTTGAGTTGAAGTCTCACTCTGTCGCCTGCCTAGACTGGAGCATGCTCCCGGCCACTGCAGCTTCAATTTGCTGGACTCCGGCGATCCTTCCGCCTCTGCCTTCCAAGTAGCCGGAATTATAGGCACACTCTACCACGCCCGGCTAATTTTTTGATTTATTGTAGCGACGAGGTCTCACCAAGTTGCTCGATGGGTCTCGAACCTGTGGGCTCAGGCAGTCCACTCACCTCGGCCTCCCAAGGTGCTGGGATTACAGACTGAGCCACCGAGCCTGGCCAGTTTATCACTTCTTTATTGCCCGTGTTTTTGTTGTCAAACTGCCTTATTCAAAGTTATGAAGATTTTTACTTATGTTTTCTTCTAAGAACTCTGTAGTTTTAGGTCATAAATTTAGTTATTTGATCCATTTCAAGTTAATATTTATATATTATGTTAGGTAAGGGTCCAACTTCATTATTTTGCACATGGATTTCCAGTTTACCCAGCATAATTTATTGAAAATACTATTTTTCCCCATTGAATGATTTTGGCACT